ATTGAAGGGATAGAATATGCCAAAAAAAATTTTTTTTTAATTTCTAAAAAAGGAGTTGATAAAGTAAGTTGGTTGGGAGAATAAAGAAAAAGAAAGTGGAGAGATTTTGCTCAGGCTGGAGACTAGAACAAGCCCAGAGCTAGATTTAGGGCATATTTTGATCTAATAGAAGTTGTACCCCAGATTTTTTAGAAGAAAAAACCCTATGTGTATACAAAAAATAAAGTTAGATACAATGAAGGATAAAATATGACTATAATAATGAAGGTTCAAAAAAGATTATTTTTTTTTATGAAAAGTATTGTTAAAAAACATTAAAAGAGGAAAGGGTAAAAGTTTAAAAAAATTTAGAAGAAGAAAAAAAATAAAGTTAAAAAAAATTAAATTAACTGCAAGACTAAGGAATCATGGGGAGAAAGCCATGAATTCCATGTTTTGCTTTCTCCTCCTCTGAAATTCTGCTGTTCTCCTTGGTACGTGAACTTGGTCTTGGCTGGATTTCTTGATCTTCTGGGGGAGGGGCCTGTTGTAGTGATTCTCAAGTGTCTTTGCCCGAGGCGGAATTGCACCGCCCTTACCGGGGGCCGGGCTAAGTAATCCTTTCGGGTTCGCTTTTGGGAGCTTTTGTTCTTGAACGCTTTCCGTAGAGTTCCGGAGGACGGGAATGTAAATGGTGGCCTCCCAGTCTCCGGCCCAGAAGAGCCAAGAGCTCGAGGCCCTACTCCTCAGTGCGCCCTCAGAGACAATTCAATCACTCCCGTGTCCCTGGCCTCTGGCTGTGCTCCGAGCTCACCCAGCCTGTGACCAGTTCAAGGTGACCCTGAGCTGAGAGCTGACTCCTCAGCTCTGTCTCTGTAGCTGGCTTCCCTGCTGTAATACCTGTGAGCTCTGCGACACTCAGATACCCCCGATCCTTCTGTGACCCCACGGGACCTGGGGCCACGCTGACCCCACGTGGGCTTCATCCCAGTTTAGCCTCTGGAGCGATATCCCTCAATGGAGCAGACTTTTAAAAGTCCTGATTTTGTGCTCCATTGCTCCGCTGCTTGTGGGAGCTGGCCTCTCCCCCTGTAGTCTATCTTCCCGTCGCTTTGGATTCACTTCTCCGCTGGTCCTACCTTTCAGAAGGTGGTCGCTTTTCTGTTTCCAGAATTGTTGCTGTTCTTCTCTTTGGTCTCCTGTTGGATTTTTTTTTTTTTAAGATTTTATTTATTTATTTGACAGACAGAGATCACAGTAGGCAGAGAGGCAGGCAGAGAGAGAGGAAGGGAAGCAGGCTCCCTGCTGAGCAGAGAGCCCAATGCGGGGCTCGATCCCAGGACCCTGGGATCATAACCTGAGCCAAAGGCAGAGGCTTTCACCCACTGAGCCACTCAGGCACCCCTCTGCTGTTGGATTTGTAGGTATTCACAATGGATTGATAAGCTATCTAGCTGATCTCCTGCTACCTGATGTAGTCTCAGCCTGCTACTTCTCCGCCATCTTGACCCCAAACATCCTCTGGCAACCTGTTTTTAATAGGCCCTCAAGGTGATCTGGATCCATGCTGAAGTTTGACAGACATTGCTCCAGATCAATGATTCTTAATCTGAGCTGTATATTCAAATCACCTGGGAAGATTTTAAATATGCCTAAACCCAGCTACTAAAGATTCTGAAATTGTCCTGGGGTAGGATTGCATTAATTTTAAGAAGCTCTCCGGATGATTTTACTGTTTGGCCAGGGCTGAGAATTAGTCTCACATAGTCACTACTAATCAGTTGGGATAGGGGAGAGAGTGCATCTATTTGCTATCCTTATTTCAGGTCATCTAAAAGCAGCCAAGCCAAAATATAAACATGAAGATATCTGTAAACTTGGCAACTGTGACATACTACAGAAGATGCATAAAATGTATAAGGTTGGGGGTGCCTGGGTGGTGCAGTTGGTTAAGCATTCAACTCTTGGTTTCAGCTCAAGTCATAATCTCAGGGTTGTGAGATGGAGCCCCACCTCGAGCTCTGTGCTCAGTGGGGAGTCTGTTTAAGACTCTTCTCTCCTTTTCCCTCTACTCTTCCCCTCCCCCATCCTGGGGCTCTTTCTCTCTCTCTCTCTCTCTCTCTAATAAATAAATCTTTAAAAAACTTATAAGGTTGAAGTTATGATGATTGAACATATAGCATGACAAAGAGTACAGAAAAAGAAATATATAAATCAATTGTTTTATGTTGTCTATTCTGGGAAGGGTAAGCTCTGATTCTGTGTTATTAGTTTGGTTCCTTAGACATAAATATCTCATGTGTAAAAGAAATGTAATTCTTCGAGCTATCAGTGATAGATAAGACCATCTATTATTGTTATTATTATTGCCATAAACACCAAAAGAATAAAGATAAAATTTTAAGTGGAACATTATTATATTTTTATTATTACACACAAAAACATTACGACCAAACAGTGAAACAACGTTGAAAGAAGAAGCAAAAGAAATCAAGAAAAATAGCTGCAGCCTTCCAGAATTTCATTAACTGATTCCCATCTTTCCCTTCCCTGCCATCCCTTGACTGACCAACTCCTCTAGTGAGAGGATCAGGCAGGTTTCCCCCTCCTGGAGATTCTAAAACACTGTTTGGCCTAAGCTCACTTGTAATACTGTGACAAGCAACATAAAAGCAAGAACTGACTTTAAAAGGAGAAAGAGGAGCCTACTTCAGGGGCATAAATAACTCTGCTTCCTTATTAAGAAGGAATGTTGACAGGAATAATTTTTACCCCTGTGCTCTGGCCCAATCTGGCAGAACCAATAGCTACCACACACTGATCAAAGCCCAGATGGTGTCACCCAGGTGGAAAGCTGAAATTGCTGTTGTCTCCACCTATCTGAGATCTTCGGAATAAAGAAAAGGAGTAACAGCCTAACAGTAATTCAGAGAGGAAAGAGCAAAGCCAGAAAAGATCACCAAGCCCCTTTTGGTTTGGGACTCTCAAGAGAAAAGTGCTACGTCCGCCTCCAGAGAAGAAGCTTCACCATTTTTCCCTGGAACTTAGCAAATGTTCCCAGTTACTTTGCCTGGGTTTCCAATAAAAACCCACAGAATTTCTGTTCATGTAATTGAAGGGAAAACTTACTCCATGTTTCTTATTCATTTACACTTCAGTCATCAAAATATTGATTTTTAGGAGTTATTTGAAGTATAAAAATCAAACAGAAAACTTTCAGAATATTCTTAATAAAGCTTAGATGAAGTCTGTTCCTCCATCCCCCAGCTTTGCCTGAAGAGCAGGGAGAAGGATTTGAGTCAGAGTAAAAACATAAACTTAAATAAGAAGGAGGCCAAACTATTGAGTTGAAAGCAAAACCCAAAATTGTGAAATATTTTTAAGTATGTCCTGGTGAGAGTTGGAATCATCTGGCATCTCTTTGGCAAATTAATTACTGAACAAGGAGATTGGAGAAACGAAGATACAGAGAGAACCAGAAAGGTAAAATAGGGTGGTCACTCAAAGTAAAGAGAGTAAGTGAAGGAATAAGAGCAGTGAGATGGCGGTAAAAATTCAATGATGAGCTTGCATAGCTGACCTGAGGTGCATACAGGTGGGGCAACAGAGCCTTCTCCAGATGGGGTCTCTTTTCCTCAGAGGAACATCCCTAAGTGTTTCGGTTCAATGAAATGAATCAGTTCGAGGAGGGACTTCTCTGAAGGAGTTGAATCCTTCCAAAGTTGGATTGAACTCAATGAGCCATTCATATTTCCCAGGAAAGTCAAGCCAAATCTCCACTGGACCATTTTGGAATAAGATGGAAAGGCATTTGGCTGAAAACATGGGAGCAGGCAGTGTAAACTCAAACGCCTTTGGGGCATCCCAGGTAACATAAATGTGTGCACTGCCAGGCAAAGAGGGTGGGAAGTGGCAGGGTTTGTGTGAACCAGAGAATGTACGCCCCACATGAAGACACTTGGGTTCAAAGTTTTGTTAAACTGTGTCTGCCCAAACAAAACACACCTTCATGGTGATTACAACTGGAAGACCTCCTATTTGTGACTTCTGCTAAGTAGAAAGTGTCAAGGCCATGAGTCAGTAACAGCTAGGCATCCTGTTTCTGAAAATGGAAAGTGTGTGGCTGTCTCCATCCCCAAGTCTCCTCAAATTCAGGAAACCCTGTTGCTCCCTGAGCTCCCCCTCTTACCACTCCCCAACTTCCCTGCTCCAAGATAAAGTCCCAGTTCTGTATTTCCTAAACAGAGGCTGGGTGGCAGGTTCCAAAGGAGTGGGAAGTGCCCAGAAATTCTTCACTGGGCCTGGCAGATAAACTGCAAACTCTACTGTGAAATTCAGAGCAACTCATCTTTATGTTTCAGAAAATGCTGGCATTAGCATTAAAGGCCATATTTTCGAAAATCACAGCTTCTTTCAGCAGAAGTCCAAAAACTTCAAACTGCAAAAAGGAAAGATTCTGGTATTTTTTAAATGTTTTTAAAAAACTGGTTTAGTCCATCAAATGCTCTCATTTTACAATGGTGTTAACTAATGGAGGGAGGCTTAGACCAGGTACTCAAGTTTTAATTTCTTGTCCATGGTGCTCCTCCCCACCATAAATGTTCTGCATTTATAGTTTGAGATCCATGTATCAATGTGACAGTCATAGAAAGACCTTCTTGAGAAGTCGAACCAAGGTAGATCAGACAGAAATGTGTCCACGTCCACTCCAAGAGGGGGAGTTGAGGAGAGGCAATAGGTAAGGAGAGCCACAACTAGACCAGTTTCCCCAGTAAACAGGTCAGTGGGCAGAGTGGGGAGCTGCAGGGAAGCTGAGAGTATCTCTGTCTACTCTTTCCCTTTTGTGAAATCACCGGTTGGGATCCTCTGTAAGGCTGCCCCTGAATTTAACCAGCTGTCTCCTATAGAAAAACAGAGGGTCCATATCAGGTGGTCATTTCCATTTCTGGAACCATCTCTGGAACCTTCTCTGGAATGTCTCTGAATACAAGACACCCATCCCCAAACTCTAATGACCTCACCTGTGTGGTCACTAGGTTCACCGTGGTCTTGATCCTGGATACCTCCCTTGCTTTCCCCTGTGACAGTGGGCTGCAGATCACTGCTTTGGTCTGAAGGGTGCCCTGTGGAATGAAACAAAGGAGGAACTTATAAAACTTATGCTCCCACACCTGGATTCACTACCCAAGTGGGTGACACAGTGTGGCTAGGGAAACCCACACTTGTCTCCGGTTCTAGGCACCAACACGATAAACCTCAGCAACAGATCCGGGGCTTATTTTTAAGATTTAATACAGTGTGGCTGGAGAGGGCCTAATTGTAGAAAATAGGAGAAGTGGTTAACTGTCCTGAGTGGACTCCCTACTAGTTTGGTGACTTGATAATCCGGATAAGCTCTGTCTCAATGACTGTGTTAGTCAAACAGGGAGCTTAAGTGTACCAGGATAGGGCTTCTGGTTGGACGACTGCATGGTTTTCCTATTTCCTTTTCAGTTGTACCACCAGGGAAGTCAAAGGAGGGATAAGGTCTACTCCTTTCTTCCACATCTCTGCTCCTCACTCATATCTGTCCTTTCCTTTCATCCTGTAGTCCTGTGCACTGATGTTTGTGGGTCGACAACCAATAATGCTGTCATGGAAAAGATCGACCACGTGTTCCACTAGGTTGAGGACTCTCACAATCGCAGCTTTTCATTGTCCAGTCAGTTTAGCTCATGTTGATAAATACCTAAATACTTCTCTACCAAACAGCTCATGACTTGAGTGGAAAAATACTGAAGGGTCTGTCCTGGTGGTCACATCTCTTCTTCCACTCTCCATGACCCTCAAGGGCATGATGGGTTGAAGATGTTCTACCGCCTCAGACTACCTCAGGTATCTGAAGAGGGCTGGTTCTTTCCAGCTGGATCCCTTGGCTCTAGAAGAAACCACACTGGTAGCAGGGCCCCTAATCCCTGCAGAGGAGATATGCTGCAGGCTTTGCCCTGAGGAAGCCCCATCTCCTTTTCCTCTGACCTGTGATATAAACCTTGTTCTCTCTCATCCCGCACCTTCTTTCTGACTCTGGCTGTTTCAAATTTGTTGGTAGTACTTCCAGATATACCATATTACAATATTTGGGATCTCTGACCTTTTTCTGTTTTTATTTCTTTGGATGGGATTTTTTTTTCCATCCTGTCCTTCTCTCTCCTTCTGAGTGACTCTCCTACCTCAAATATCACCTTCCCACACCCAGCCTGATGGCACCATGTCTCTCCAGTCCCTTGAGGTGGCCCAGCAAACCCATTAAGCAATGCCGGCTGCCTCAGACTATACTTAAAAAGATACTGTCCCTACTCTCATGGAGCTTACATACTAATACAGAGAGTAAGAATAAAAAGAGATAACAGATATAAAAACACCCTAAAACTTTTAAGAGGGTGAGCTGGGTAGACTAGAGTCCCCTTAATATTCCTATCTATCTAGAACCTCAGAATGTGACCTTACTTGGAAATAAGATCTTTTTAAATGTAATTAGTTTAAGATGAGGTCACACTGGAATAAGGTGGTTCAACGATTAGTATCCTTATAAGAAGGCCATGTGAAGACACAGACACAGGCAGAATGCAGTGATAATGAAAGCTAAGGATGGAGTGATGGGTCTACAAGCCAAGTAATGCCAAACATTGTCAGGAATTACCGAAAGCTAGGAGAGAGGTATGGAAAGAATTCTCCCTCAGAGTGTCCAACACAAACCAAACTTGCTGATTTTGGACTTCCAGCCTCCTGAACTGTGAGAGAATAAGTTTCTGTTGTTTTATGCTACAAAGTTAGGGTAATTTGTTATGGCAGCCCTAGGAAACGGACATGAAGAGGTAAAGTTGACAGATGTTAAGAAAAAAGAGACAGAAGGAAAAGATTAGGTACATGTATTCAGCTTGGTTTTGTTGGGGGGTGGGGGAATGTTAAGAACAAGAGTTAGGGAAATGTCCATTATTTTCATTTAACAAACACAGATGTATAGGTTATTATGTTCCATGCAGTGTTCTAAGCCCTTTATAAAAATTAACTCATTAATCCTCATAGTAACTCTAAAAGGTAGAGGCCACTATTTTCCCCATTTTACGGTTAAGGAAACTGAGGCCCAGAGCAGTTAAATGACTTGCCAAGAGTCACTTACAGCTGGAGAGTGGCAAAGCCAGTGTTCAAATCCAAGCAGTTTTGCCCTAAAGCCTGAATTCCTAAATATTACATGGTACAGCCCCATTTATGTAGCCATTTTAAAAATCATTAAACTCTACTCTTATTTTTTCCTTTATAAGTGGCAGTAAGAATTCAGCCTTTCTTTCTTTCACGTGCCTGGGCCTCTAAGGTCCCACAGATCAGGTGCTATGGGAGGAGGCTCCGGGTTGGAATGGCATTTGATGACCTGCTTGGAGGACAGACCCAGAGGCAAGGTTTCCAGCAAGGGCACTGTCTAGGTAGATTTCTTGGTTGAAGATCTAGGCTGGGTAAGCTTTTCTGGCCTCATAATGGGTCTGGCAAACAGTGCCTACTATATCTGGCAGAGGAGGCGCATACAGATGAGGCACAAAAGCCCAACCTTCCCCTCCTCACCACTGCTGGCCAATTGCAGCAGGAGCCCATGTCGTTTCTGGCTGGAGTGACAGCTGGTCAACAGCCATCTTATCAGAACAGAAAGAGGCCAACTTGTGGGAGGTCTGACAGGCAAATGCCACTAAAAGCAGCACTGAGAAAGTAAAATTATTTTTTTGAAGAACAGAATCTCATTGACAGATTTTTTTTTTTTTTTTTTTTTTTCAAGAGCCACATCAGAAACCCTGGTCTCAACATAAAACAATTCTGGTAATTCCAGGCCTACGAGAACATTCTCCACTTTGATTCTCCCGTGCTTAATGCCAGTCATTATCCTGGTCAAACTTTGACGGAGTTCAAAGAAAGTCTTGCCTGGTAATTGTTTTCTCTAACTTGGGAACTAAGGAGGAAGGTTTTCCCTTATCCTAAAGATCAGTTTCTTGTCTTCTCTGGAACATCACTGTTTGGGGAATTCCCCTTGCCTTCAAGCACCCAGGGATTGTCACTGTTCTCTTCTGACTCCCAGCAGCCTTGGGTGGGATTTACTTCTTATAACTTATGCCCCATCTGCTTCCGAAAAGGACCAGAGCAAGCCTCATAGATTGTTTGTTTCTTGTGCTTGTGTTAGTTGTCTCTAGCTTAGCATTCCTCTTAAGCCTGGGGCAGATGTGTCCGTCCTGGTTCCATTTGAGACTGTTTCTCCCACCTCCTTTCTAAAAGATTTTATTTTTAAGTGCAGTTTTAGATTCTCAGCAAAACTGAGAGGGAGTTACAGAGATTTCCCATATATTCCCTGCTCCCGCATATGCAGACACTGCCAATACCTCCCACCAGAGCGGCATATTTGCTACAATCGATGGACCTACACTGACACTTCTTAATTACCCAAAACCCATAGTATACATTATGGTTCACTCTTGATGTCGTACACATTATAATGACATATATCCATCATCCTGGTGTCATACAGTAATTTCACTGCTGTAAAAAATCCTCTGGGCTCTGCCTACTAACCCCTTCCCACATCGTGGCAACCATTGATCTCTGTACAGTCTCCACAGTTTTGCTTTTCCTAGAATGTCACATAGTTGGAATCAGACAGTTCGTAGTCTCTTCAGACTGGCTCTCTCCTCGTAAGATGCATTTATGTTTCCTGCATGCCTCTTCGTGGCTTGAGAGCTCATTTCTTTTTAGCACTGAATACTATTCCATCGTCTGGATGTACTACAGTTTATTTATCCATTTACCCACTGAAGCACATTCCGGTCACTTCCAAGTTCTAGCAATTACGAATAAAGCTGCCTCACACATCTGCGTGCAGGTTTTTGTGTGGACATAAGTTTTCAACTCTTCTGGGTAAATACCAAAGAGCATGAAGACTGGATCATATGGTAAGAGTATGTTTAGTTTTGTAAGAAACTGCCACACTGTCTTCCAAAGTAGCGCCACCATTCGGTATTCTCATCAGTGACGAATGAGGTTCCTGCTGTTCCACGACCTCACCAGCATTTGATGCTGTCAGTATTACAGATTTTGGCCCTTCTAATAGGTGTGTAACAGTATATTGTTGTTTTAATTTACATTTACCTGCTGACATGATGTGGAGCATCAGACTGTCCCCTCTTGATGGGGAAAAAATAAATTTTATGTTGCTTTTGTGACCACCCCAAAAGCATTTAGCAGACTGTTCTGCACAGAGAGGATGTTCAGAGAATGTTTGGGGGAAGAACACCAGATCAAGAGTTAGGCAGTCTGTACTGCAGGGAGGTTTCTCAGTCACCATCTGTAAAATGGGGTAAGATTCCCAATCTATTTCTCAGGGTTACTGAGATAATTACAAAAATAAGGTGAGTGAAACTGCCTTGTATAAACTAGGAATTGCTATGCAAAAATATAGCATGTTAGGAAAATAAGTATTTCTCCTTGTTAATTAAGAAGGAAATAACTCCCACCTCTATGATCATTCCAGCTTATACAGTTCTGGTTTCCCATAAATCAAAGTTATTTACTTTCCTATAAATCTTTCCTAAAAAGATAAAGTTCTAGATGTATATAGCAGCTTTATTCACAGTCACCCAGAACTAGAAACAAAGGTCATTCAGCTGGTAATTGGCAAAACTGTGGTATACCCATACTCTAGAAACCTGCTCAGCAACGAAAAAGAACAAATTACTCTTAAATGCATCAACACTGATGAATCATAAAAGTATTATACCAAGTGAAAGAAGCCAGATGCAGTTTACATACTGTATTACTCCATTTCTATGACATTTTGGGAAAGGCATAATTATAGGGACAGAAAATCCATTAGTGGTCCCCAGGAGCTAAGGGTGGGGGGAGATGGTCACAGAACAGGCAGGAGAGAGCTTTTTGGAAATTTTCCTTTTTCTTCCTTGTGAAGGGGATTACCTGACTGTGTTCAACCAATTTTATCAAACCATTTGAGTTTTACTGTACATAAATTATACCTCAATAAATACGACTTTTTAAAAATCACCAGAACATAAAAAAATTAAAAGATAAAGTCTCCTCAAACTGACTGTTCCCA